CAGTGGTGGGGCCGGAGGTGCTGAGGCCACTTCCCTCCAGCGCTGCCTCTGGCTCCCGGAGCTCTGCGGCTTCCAGCCAGAGGAGGCAGGTGAGGGCCCTGATGCGCCCAGCAGCATCCGTACCGGATTAGTGCCGCTCTAATCCCGGCATGGGGGGTGTCCAAGGGCTTGGGATTAACCCAGCAGCCTGTTCCGGACAGAACTGGGGCTGGCGAGTGGCAGGTCCTGCCCGGCACCACAAGCAGCAGTTTTTCCCACAAACATCTGGACTTGGGCGTTCAACTCCCATCTTGGAGAAGGCACTGGGCAGGACATGACTTTTCCAAGAGACTGGAGGGAATAAAAGTGCCTTTGGGAATCGAGGGGCTGCCGCCGCCTCATTCCCACAGGATCTCCGTCCAGGAACGCGCGAGGGCAGCCGGGTTGCGCCGCCCGCGTGCGCATCCCGCCCCAAGCCGCCGCCGATGTGACCTTGCGCTTATGTAAGCGGCTGCCGGGAGCCGCCGCCTGCGCCCGAGGCCGGGCGTCCGCCGGCGTAATCCCAAAGCAGCAGCAGCTGGAGCGGGAGGAGGGAGGGCCAGGATGAGCCCGGAGCGCCGTGGTCCGGAAGGAGCCCGTTGGGGACAACGCTGCTCGCGGGAGGTGACTCCACGCGCGCCGGGTGGGCGCCGGACATTGGCAAAACGCTCCCATCCTGCATCATCCCAACACCCTCCTGCCCTGGATTCGGGATCAGCCTCCCACGCGGGAGCAGGTTGCAGGGCGGGAAGCCCCGGGTGGCAGCGCCGGCCCCGGGGCCGGTCACGCGCCGGGATGGGGGGTGACGCGGCGCCGCTCCCCTCACCTTTAGCTGGGATTGTTCACGCGCCCCGGGGGCAGAGCCCGGGCCGCCCCTGTAATTAGGAATACGCTCAAATATTTCCACAGATCTCAATCTCCATCGCGGGGCAGGCAGCCAGCGGCAGCCTACGTGTGCCGGGGAGCACCCGGCCGGGAGGTCACAGCGGGGTCCCTGCTGCTGGGGCTCGCTCCGGCCGCACGGGGATGGAGCAGCCTGGGATGCATCGCCCCGGATGCTGCTCTCTCCTGAACACGGACAGGGAAGGATGGACAAGTCTTTCCAGAAACCTCCTCCATCCACAGAGGTTTTATGAGGCCGCTCCCCCACTCCCAGAAAAGTGCCAGGGCTGGGAATGAGGAGCAACAACTGAGCAGCTCTGGGCAACAGGATCTACCAGCCCAGAGGCTGCTGCCACCCACAGAGCGTGGACGCGGCTCCACGTGGTTCTCACTGCCCTGGCCATGAGAAGCAGCATTGCTGGGAGTGCAGAGAGCATGGGGAGACACCTGGGTGCACCCTGCCATGGACCACCCCATGTAGGGTCCTGGTTTTCGGTGCAGATGGTTTCCTGAAGGAGGAGAAACCACACCAGGCCAAAAGATAGAGGGGAGGGTCACACACAGGTCTTCGGGGAAGTGTGTTGCACGGAGCTAAGTGCATTGGATGCAGATAAATGCACCGGATGGAGATAAGCGCGTCGCATGGAGATAAGCGCGTCGGATGCAGATAAGCTCCCAGCGCCGAGGGCGGCCGGGCGACGCCAGGATGTCCCAAGCGTCCCCGCTGCGCGCAGGGGCCTCTCGTCACCTCGAGGGCTGCTGGCAGCGCGGCGGCCGCAGCGCTGGTGAAACCCGATGAGCGACACCCCGTGACTGTCCCTGCCGTGCCAGGAAGGGCATGTGAGGCTGCTCCTCGCCCCGCTCCGCGCCAGCGTCCCGCCTGCCAAGACTCGCGGCGGGTGACGTCCCCAGGCCGCAGGAAGGGACCTCCCTCTGCAGGCAATGCCACCCTCCACGAGAGCGGGTGGCCCCCACTGCCCCCCATCAGCGCAGGCTGGTACCTGTCCCGTCTGGAGTGGACCTCACAAAGGTGGGCAGCATCTTCACCGAGGCGGTGGGGTTGGTGTCCGCCTCCAGGCCCTTCTCCATCTCCTTCCGGAAGCGTTGGGACACCTCCTGAAGGGTCTCCTCGGACAGCCGCATGTGGTAGAGATATTTGTCAATCTGAAAGGAACAGAGAAGCACCAGAAGGTCAGTGGAAGGGTTGGGACATAGGTGCAACCACCGCAACATGGTGAGGATGGCATTAGCAGGATGCCACAGGAGCAGAAGTAGGTAAAGGCCACTCAGAGGGATCAGTGTTTCTGTAGGACACACTCTTAGCAAGGTTGGCCACCCTCCAGGCCCGCAACAAGGCGGGCCACCCCTTTGGCCTCCCAACGAGGTTGGCCACCTCTTCAGCCTCTCTATGAGGTCTGTCACCTCTTTGGCCTCCCGGTGAGGCCGGTCACTTGGCCACCCCCCAGCGCCCTTCACTGCCCGCGCCGTGCCTCACCGGGTCAGCGGCGGAGGCTCCGAGCTGCCCTGCGCGGGCAGCGGCGGCGCCAACGGGCCACGACCGCGACCCGCCGGGTCTCGCCCGCCGCGGACGGCGCTCACGGGGATGCGCTGCCCTTTGGGTTGGCGCCTGCTGCGCTCGCCCTCGCTCAGCTCTTGTGACAGGGGTGGCTGCCACGGAACGGGAAGAAATGCCCCCTGCTCCCAGAAATCGTTCGTGTGCTAATGATAATAATGATCATAATGATAACCAGCTCCCCCTGCAGATGCATGTTGTCCTTGAGATGCAGGGGGAAACCCATCCCCAAGCAAATTCCCATGGCCACTCTGGAGCGGGCAGCATTTCTGAGCTGGGCAGGGAAGGGAAACAGCGAGGCGGCCGGCCTGCCAGCTCCCCAGCTGTGCCCCGTTTCAATTAACTTCACTTAACATTAATTAAAGGGCAGCTGCCAGCCCTGTCAAGTCAAAGGGAAACTCCACCCGGCCGGCTCACCTGTCTGCAGGCACGTAACATACGGTCATCGGGAATCAAGCGCGAGGCTTTTTTTTTTTTTTCTCTCTCCCCTTCTTTAATAGAGCTGCCCTAAAGTCGGAAATGGGCATTTTGCGGGTTGCTAATAGCCGCCCGGCTGAGCGGTGACCTGGCACACGGACGCGGCCTCGGGGACCCGGCCGGGAGGGCAGAGGCTGGTGCCCCCGCCTGGTTTCGGAGGCTCTGACGTGCTCGTGGCTCCCCTGCACGTCGGGGACCAAAGCTCCAGCTGATGATGCTGCAAGGAGCTCGGCTTGGCCTTGTTTTACACCATCCTAGCTGAGATGGGCTAAGGAACTGCATCCTTGCTTGGGCCATGGGGAAAAACCCTCCTCGCGAGCCTCTCCTTGGTGGTTTCTGGCCAGCCTCCCTGGGAGGCCTTTCCCACGGAGGGAAGCGCGAGCGAGCCGAGGCCGACGGGGAAGGAGGCGGGCC